GTCTGGGTGGGTGTCTTGCTGCAGTCCAAGGTCAACCCACCATGACTTCACTGGGCTTCAGAGTGGAACCTGTTTAAAACTTCTTTGCTGTCTGAAAGCAAGAGTTGGCTCAGGGCTTCACAGCAACCCAGGCAACATTTACCTTTGGTATCAGAAAGGTGAGGAAGCCCAGGGCCATGCTGCGTCTGTCACAGAGAAGATGGATGTAGAGGCAGAATTAGGATGCCTAAAAAGGGAACAGAAAGGTTTCTGGGCCTGCAGATCTTGCTGCAAAATTGGGAGGAGGAGTGCAAAAAACAGCAATGGCAAAAAACAGGGAGAGAGCAAGCCTCAGCCTCAGCAGTATCAGCAGCTTCACACACACACACCCCACCCCTTCTCCTTAGCAGCAGCAGCAGCAGCAGCCGCAGCAGCCCAGGGGTGCCAGGCTCTGGCACATGCACTGCTGGCAGCCAGGCCGCCGACTATTTTACCCGTTCCACTGAGGGTTCAAACCACCATCTTCTCAGGGACATCTGTGGTGCCGTACATTGCTAAATCAGTACATCACTATCAAGTAAATGAAAGTTTTGAAATTACATTTAGCTTGTAGGATGCACTTATCATAGGCCTTCCTCCTGCAAACTCCTAGCACTCATCAAATCTTTAAAGCTGAGTTTGCTCGCTCTGCCACCTATTTGCAGGTTCCCTGAACTGTTAGTTCCTTGAAGTAGTATCCATGTGTGTACATTGTAATTTCAGTATCTTCAGTTCAATGAATGTCTTATATTGAATGGAGCTTTTGGTACAATGGCAATATACGATTTAATGGCAATATATAAATTACCTTAGGTGCAATACAATGCTTTTAAACCACATGTCCCCAGGGTCTGTGAGGCCCATAGTCACGCAACCTACATCCCACTTAATGTCTTCCATTAGCTAGGTATCACAAGAGTCTTAAGAGAGTAAACAGACAATATTCAAGAACTTGCATGAAATCTAGGCTATGAAAATTTGGGCTTAAGGATGTATGAAAAATACTACAGCAAATCTCAGAGATACATCTGTGCTTCACTCCAGGTCTCTGCTCTTTGAAAACATTTAACTATGCATATAAAGCACAAAAGTAATGTAAATTGAGTCAATGGGACAGTTCATGTATTTGAACAAAACCATTTGCTTGAGTCATTGTTTGGAGCAGAGCCTTAAACTGCAGGCCCTTGTATTATTAAGTTTGTCTCCATGCAGTTATTTTATCCCCATTCACTTCTTTATGAATATTTATGGCAAGAGTTTTAGTTATATACAGAAATTGAGTACTCTGGGACAACAAATCCAGTATTATTTCATGGTGCAGACAGACTAATTCAACCAACAATTGTATGGCTACCGAAGTTTTATGTTCAGAGTACCACATGCAGGGCAAAACCGCTCAACTCGGATCCATCCTGTTGGTTCCATGCGAGTTTCTCAAAAAACCACAACCATCCTCCTTGCAACCATTTTTGAAGCCTCCTCAGAGTTCTCTTTTCTGTACATGCCACTACTAACTCTTGCAGGAATGGTTTGCTTGTAAACCACAGCTTGTAAATCACAGGTCAAGCCTAATGGTCAGATCACAAGAATTATTTCCTTTTAGAGCACTGATCACAGGACAATTAATTTTCACTGGGCAACTAATAAACCGAAGATGACAGGGATACCATTTTTAAGCACCAGCACACATAAGCACGCTCAGCCTGTTGAGACAAATATCACAAAGTCACTCTACCAAAGCTGTACACCACATCAAAACTGCAGGTGCATATCCTTTTCCCTAGCATATATATATTTAGGGTTCTTTCTAGAAAAACGCCCTGTTTGTAGAGTAACTTAGGGAGAACTGAAAGCAGAACCACTGATTAGCAAACTTTTGCAGAAAATGAGATGTATCTGAAAGGAGGAGAAAGAGGAATCCCATGGCTCCCTGTATCTGCACAATTCTTCTCAAACTTCTCCATTTCACATTTCAGATTTTGTTTTCCTTTATAGTAAAGACAAGGTTTGTCCTTCGCTATTGGTGACCTTTAGGGTAAAGGTAATTCTGTAATACCTGTAATACATAACTGTATAATAAAATAATAATAATAACTGTGATAATTCAGTAATAGATTATGCCATTTATAAAAATTTAAATAACTGGCAATTTTACATGCAGTTTTTTCTTACATGTTCTATATCTTTCCTTTGCTAAACAACGCTAACTGCTGAAGAGGTTATCAGGTTTTCTCAAGAATCCTTGTAGAGTTCTGAGCAGAAACAAGATTGCCACATCACTTTATGTGTTAGTACCTTCTCACATGGGATTTCATCATCATCTAAGACTTCAGTCTCTTAATGTGTTGTACTTATTTGTTAATTTTGATAATGAACAGTAAGATACACCCAGTAAACTGTGGGAGAATAATGTTAAAGCAGTTGTCCTTGGATTATACCTCAACCAAGCAACAGTTGTGTAACACTATTTAAAGATCATTACATAAACTATGACTGCTTTGCTTCTGGCATTTAATTTGCATCAATAAATGAGATACAGGTGAAGAAGTGGTAGAAGTGAAAGTGATTATTTTGTTCATAAATAAATTGGCTAACATTATATAAATAAAGTCTTTGTCTATATAATTCTAACAATTTATACATAGGAAAAGCACCACATTGCCCAAAATGAGAAGTTAGAGTGTCACCCGTAAGTAGACAGTGCTGGAAGTTTCTTCTTGTTATTCTTCTCTAACTATGACACATTGTGTGGGGACAGGAAGGAGAAACTCCTTAAGTGTGCAAAGGCTTAGACACCATAGCCACATGGCATCTTAGCAGAGGGAGGCTGGGCTAAGTATAGTATCAATAGCTGGTCTTCCACAGCAGTTAATTAGGAAAATGACTACAGGCTATCTTGAAAAAAGATTCTCTGTAGCTATATTTATAATGAGGTTACAAGGAAGATATTCTCTTCATCCCTCCCTTACAAGTCCTAGTCACAATCCAAACTGGAGCAAAATGCCTGTATTTTTCATAATAAATGTCTTGAACTTTGCTGCTCCACTAGTCTGGAGCTCCATTAGTGGTGTGCACACCTACTGAAACTGTGGTTACCGACGTGCATTTAAGTTTTGTGGTTGCATATACTATCAGAAGCAAAGTTTGAGATGATAGGTGATGGCTTGAAACCTACAGCTTTTCTCCTCCCTGAATGGCTGCCAGGGAGAAAGGCAGGGAATGACTCAGTACAGGCATTCTTCCCTGAGAGGCAGTTGAGAGTGTGAATAAACATGATTTGCAAAAGAAACCCAGTTACTGTTGTTTTATTAGCCCAGCCCAGCACACCCCAGGGAGATCGGGTAGACAGCAGAGCAAGGCTAAAGAGGACTTTCAGAGCAGATGGATTACTATTGACCTGCATGAACAGGCCAACATTTCCTACAGAGGCACCCAGCACCAAAAGAGAATCATTGACTTTAACCTCTTCCAGCGCTCCCTAGCTTTATTACCCCCAGTGTTTGAAATATTTTACAATTGAAAATCAAAACTCTGATGCTTTCTGGTCAAGTACTTTCCTTATTTTCATGTTGAAATCTTTGAATCTGCCACCTTGTGGATTCAGTATGAGATGTCAGTCAAAATTCTGGATGTCGAAAAAACCATGAAAAGCTTCGGCATATGAGGTTGTTCCTCAGTTATTCTGAACCAATTTGACAGTACACAATGCACACGTATGCTAAGATATTCAAAGTGAAGACAGGCTTCTAAATTTTTGTGACTTTTTCAGTAATTTCAGTTGAAGGCATTCCCTTGTCTAAAATATCAAAATAAAATACATTTTCACCCCTGCAGTGATATTAGCTGTTTACATTCGTTTGCAAATAGTAACACTATCTGGTTGGACAACCAACCTTACTTAGCACCACAGGTCTTAGAACTGCTTGAGCATGTTTTATTTTGTCAAATTTTCCACTATCATTTTCAAAGTAAAGACATTTTTATTCACTCCAAAACTCCATTCAGGACTAATTTCATTACTTTGGAAAGAAAGAAAGAAAGAAAGAAAGAAAGAAAGAAAGAAAGAAAGAAAAAAGAGCCAGCACACATATCTTTTCCTTTACCACCTTCCCAAAGGAATAAAGCTTACCAAGTTGCACTGCAACAGCTCCTTGACAGACAAGTTTATTGAAACAATTTTTAAAAGCAGATATCACTGAATGTACTCCATCAATCCCAACAGTTCAGAAAAACAATTGTTCAATGTCCAAATGAAGTGTGCATGATTCAAATTGTACATTTTTAATATACTCATTTATACCACATGAGCATAAAATACAATGATTCTTACATTGTTCAGTATACCAATTTATTGCTACAGTTTCCAAAAAAAAGTAGGGCACACCTGGAAATAGTTCTTAATCCAAGGCTATTGGAGCTCTTTCCACACCTTAGACCCCAAGATCAAGTCAATAGTGTTCAGATGTAGATCACTGTATTTTTAAAGTGTGTTCTTTTTAATTTACAGCTAAATTAAATGCTTTGTTTTGCAAGACTGTATTCTTAGATGGTATTTTATGGGAAGTGTAATATTTGAATATTTAGTACAATATAAATAATTTAAATCATAGGATATAAAACTTTCTTCACCTTCATTTTGCTTGACATCTTTACCCATATCCAGCAGAAGAAACAGATCCCATGTACTAAGTTATTAAAAAAAAAAAAGGACACAAACAGTGAATTTAACCAACTTGCACAAAGAATGAGGGTCCAGTGTTCACAGGCAAACTACTACTCCTACAAAATGAAAGGTGTTTGGGGCTTAGGAAGTGCTGTCATGTATACTTGCACAATAATCACAAATTCTTATTGTATGCCTGTATTAAAACAAAAATTATGCATTGATTTGGGTTTTAATTTCTGTTTTGTTTCTAAGAACAGTCCTAAGAGTTCCATATTCTGAATGCAAAGAATTTTTTAGCTGTTCCAATTTGAGTGCAGCACAGCTGCTTTTTAAAGGTGAGGTTCCATTTGAAAGGGTCTCTACTCTTTAGCTCAAATTTTTTTTACATATTTGAATGTTTTGCCAGCCCTTTTGACCAATAACGTGATCGTTTTATTGTCAAAATAAGTAGTTTTTAGCAAATGAAAAGCTTATTCCAACAGTAAAAGATCTCTATACACAGTGTGAAAAGCAACATGGTGGTATAAATATATGCATACATTGTATTACACATAATATTTTATACACATTCCAGTTAACCATGGAACAATTGACAGGAGTAGATGGCTGCTAATCATGGGAACAATGGATTTTTATAAACAAGGTTGAGAAACTTTAAGGAAAATCTGATTTCTGGAAAAATGACAATCTTGGGATTTCATTTTTGTTTTCAAATTCATTTTTTTAAGGATGCTGTATATAAGAATGCACTTTGTATTAAAACAAAGATCAATACTTTACAGTTTAAGAAACTTTACATATGTACATAAATTACACGTCAGGAATGGTTTTAAAGCTCAAAATGAGTTGTTGGAAAAGTCTATTTTCCTTCTATTAAAATCTTTAACTCTTTTACATTGTGATCATTTGCAACTGTCATAGCATGATCCAGTGCTCGGATACTTGCTAGAAGCTTTATAATCTGCTTTATGTGCTCCCTAAAAAAGAGGAAAAAGTCAATGCAGAAATGGAACATCATGTACAAGTACTAACATTTCAACAGAAGACTACGTTGTTATGAATCCATATAGCAAATCAGTTTCAGATAACTTCACATCATCTCTCCGCTTGTTTAGTCTGTTAAAGTAAGTCGGTTATTAGCTTTGTACTGAAATGGAAAAATTTATTTTGGGAGTAGGAATTAATCAGATGATATGGTCAAGAAAAAGTCTTGGATTACTTATGGTACTGTGCAATGAGTCACAGCTCTCTTGGCAACTAATGTGTAAGCAAAAAAAAAAAGAAAATCAAGGCACCAAGTATGCTTTAATGCACTCCTTAAAAAAGGTATGAAGCTTGCCACCAAGGAACTGCGTTGTAATTCAGGTCAATCTTGGAAGCTTAGAGTGAACAAACTGCTAGAAGGACTGTACTTCTTTGGCTGTCAAGAACAATTTTGGTATCTTGCTAAGAGGACAGACATGAAATTTAGACCAGTCTCACAAAAAAATACTAGAAGTTCAAAAGTAATCTTAAAATGAACCTATCGGATCTGTGAAAAAGCATACAACGTTTGGAAAACTAGCACCAACAGACAGTGGTAAAGATACACTTCCCTCTCAGCAGAAATTAATGCCTTTTTCTTTCAAACAACTGCACTAGGTTTTATATGAGAAGAAACGACATTCTTTGGTTTATTTCTGGGGCAGACTTATTTTATCTGCTTAAATGCAGGCAGTGGCAACAGATTTGTTAAATGCTGGGAAAATGCTGGGAAAAAGCAGGAGGACAGAAGACAGAAATTAAATTAGAAGTCACTATGGAAAAAAAAAAAGGATTAAATGGATGTTTCTCTTCCAATACAAAGTTTTTCCAAGTTATCATTTTAACTGGTAAAGAAAGTTCTTTCAAATTTAGAATCAGGCTAACAAAAGAAAGAAAAGTTTCATCTCTAACTGGATTCTCTCTCAACTCCTTCAATTCCAATATCACACTACGCCAGGCATTTTGGTTTTAGAAAGGGAGGAGTAACAAATCTACTTCGAATTTGAATCATGGGGAAATTTTAATTGGTATGTGACATTGCTATTATACTTTGGACACAAACTTCTGAGGCATAACCTCAGCGGGGATAAAAAGTTGTTTGAGTGCAACCCAGTGTGGCTTAGCGTTCTCTAAAAATGAGATGATTCATATACCACAGCCAAAGGTGACTCTAAAGACAGAAAAATGTCTAATACCCAACATGGTAACTGTAAAAAAAAAAAAATTATACCAGAAAAACCCCCCTCTTAATCAAGATTTTTATGCTGCAGTTAAAGGAAATTTCTGTCTCTATGTTTCAGTGCTATGCATAAGAACAAAAAGGGAGAAGGATCTAATCCCCTGATGAGCCTCAATAATTGGAGAGTAACTCAACAATGGCTCCAGCAAGTTCAACTATCAAGAATGACTAATGCAGGTAGCGAGGATTTGTCTTTCCAAGTTTCAAGTTTGCTGGAACAACTGAACTATTGATCGTGAAACCTCTCCTCATGCAACAGCACAGGAATAAACAATCTTCCAGTCTTGTTACATTCCTGTGTATCAGTGCAACAATTTGGCTTTTTTTTTTTAGTTTATCACTGCTTAAAACAATACACCCATAGCATTTCAGGTTACTTGGCCAGCAGTTAACATTTATGCATTTAATATGAACTTTTAATTATGCTGGTTATCCGATACAAGTAAAATGACTCTTCAATCTAGGGGAAAACAGGTTCATCTAGTTCGTTGTTAAAATAAAGCCAGAACTTTTGTACTGTATACAAAAGCACAATTTGTAATTTAGAAGCCATTACACAGGAATCTGTAACAGGCTCACAAGGTGGAACAGTCCAAAACCAGCAACTACAAGATCTTCCAGGATCAGACACACTAAGCAGTAGTGCAAAACGTATTACAAATGTTTTAAGACTTCCAGCAGTTGCTGTTTTCAGACACCCTAAAAATCTCTCCATCTACCATACCATAATGTTTTAAAAGTTTGAATTCAAACTGTTTCAAAAAGACATGCAGCCGTATGGAGATATTTACCCATGTTTGCATGCATCAGCAAAATAACAGAAAGCAAAAGAATTGCACTGCAAGAATTGCATTAACTCAGAATAAGTTACCTTGCATTTCTCTTCTCTACATCAGAGCAACCAATGCTGTTTCTATAAATTGTATCAGCCAGATGAACAAGGTATCTACAGAAGTTTTCTAATTGAGAAATAGTCTTGTCTCCTTTTAGATTACTGAACCACTGTTTAGGAAAGCAAGCAATTACCTAGACATAACAGGAAAAAGAAAGTTAAACAAAATATAACAAAATTTTAAAAGCTATCTAAAAGGATTTGTAAAGTTTGCCAGGTAAAACTGCAGTGACAAGGTCCAACTGAGTGAAAGGGTGGGGGGTGGCTGTGGGGGAGAAATCAAAAATTGAAGCAGAAAAACCCTGAAACCTACACCATACCTAAACTATCTACAGGTACGAGCCAGAGAAGCTTCTTTCTTTAGTTTGTGTATTAAAAAAAAAATCTGTTTTTATCACTAACATTACAATATTGATATATCAAAGACGAGCTTTTATACATAACGTCAAGTTTTAACTACATTTTTCCTTAACTCACGCATTTCAATTGATTTTAAACATTGATTTTACTTACACTTTGAGCTTTCTTAATGCTGTCCTCTCCATACTCAGAGTTTTGAAAAGCCGTAAGTATATATCTATTTAGCAGACCATCTATTGACAGTTCCTGGAGAGTTTTGTTTGAAAGGATTCCATACCACTGGAGAAAGTTTCCTAATAACTGAAAGTACAACACAGGGAAAATAAGTATTTGCTCAGGTTTTGCACAAGAAATGAGAAAAAAGAATTAAAGTTTTAAGTCTCCTTGTTCTCAACATTCACATCAATGTAAAGCCAAGTGAGACCTAGCATATGCCATACGGGGGCAAATTCACAGCCCCCTTGTCAACAACATCCCCAGCTACACTGTTAGCATACCCTTATTTCCAAGGCACAGTGACACAAGAGACACAGAAAGTGTCACGGGGGAGTGCTGCCTAAGCCAACTGTACAGCTGTTACTCCCCACTGGCGTATGGCCTCTGAAGAATTGCTGCCAGCCTTGCACAAAAGAGTACAGCCAGCAGTTTACTGTTGAGGCAGATCATCAGGAAACAGTAACTGCGTGCTTGCCTCCCAGCTTCTATTTCTGCTCATCTGTGATGCTATAGCTGACTTGCTACCACAAGAGAGCTGTATTTTTAATGCTTCCCTAAAATAAAACAGTGGTAACAGCATGCATAGTTCTAAACTGCCCAGCTCCAATAGATAGGGTCAGAAGCAGGCAATTCCACTCTTAGGGGACACAAGCCCTAAACAGGTAATCCGTTTCACTTTTAACAACAGCATTTTAACAACTGAGCTTTGGGCATTTTTTGCTCTAGACAACATTTAAGAAGTTGACTTATTTCAAAGTGAAAGAATTCAGTGCCAAATATTTTAAGTAACTGAAGTGATTGCAAACCTATTCAGAACAGCCTCCTCGCTCACTGCTACAATTTAAACAGAAAATTCCAGATAAGGATTCTGTTTGCATGACCATGAAGATCAGCAGTTCAATCAACATGGGTCTCATACTTTACTTTCCTGTTTAGTTAAGAGTTAATTTTCTTCACAGACTTTTACTGGAAATAAACTACAACAGTCATAGCTTCTTACATACCTTTGCAAACCCTATATTGCACATTCCACACACAGACTTTCTTTTGCACTCTTTACTGTTGAAATTAAACTAAGATTACAAATGCTCTTATACTTTACATACAGCAGTGAGCTTTCCAAACGCGGCCAAGTCATTTTCATGACGATTCTCACACTATATATATAAAAAATACAAACCAAGGTCTCTCATCCCCACATAAGTGAAATAAAAGCATAGTATTTTATTCTGACAAGCACAATGACATTAAAAAAACCTGGGTTGAGTATGCTAAGTAAACGCACAATGTACAACTTAAAATGATGGTGCTTTCACTTGGCAATCTTTTGAAGAGGGCACAGTGCATTATGAAAGACTAAGAATCCTAATTTAGAGTTATTTCAACTAAAGTTAAAGCAATTTCCATCTACCCTTTTCCACAAATTTGAAGAGGATTTTATTGCTACACTGTCTATACCAAAGATTTACTGGATGTACTTGCTGACTTACCTTAACAGAGGACCAAAACTGACGTTGGAAAAACAAATATGGACCAGAGTTCTTGTTTTCTAAGATGCTGGAAAGTAAGAGATTTCTTTAATGAGCAACCAAGACCACCTCTGTCTGGAGTTTGCTGGCTTCCTCCTTCCCACACACAGTTCATTTCTATAAATATTCCCTTTCATCCTGCTTGTCTTTGCTAAATCCTCACAGCATAACAAAAGATCTCCCGTATCCAGCCAGTAAACCATATTGGGAAAAAAAATCCCTGTCAACTACAGACAGAAGACACCAACTTGCTAATAAAGGTCTAATAGCATAGCTGAAAGCAAACTTACTTTTTTGGATATAAGGGCATGAATACATCATCATCTAGTGTTCTCCTCATTCTTAGCAACAATGCCTTTAAAAGCATCTGAAACAGATAATTTTTTAAAAAAAGTGTTCAAAGCACTGTTTAGTAGTTAACCACTCACAAATAGATTTTCAAAGCAACAAAGAACCTTTGTGACCCTAACAGTAAAAGGCATACATACTTAAGCATATATATAAATGAAGTCTTAGAGAAACCTACAATAATTAAGAGCTAAAATTTGATGCTTTCAATGAAAACTGAAGGCAACGGAATTACATTATGGTTAAGCTTGGCTACACAATTAGCTCCTGTGAAGTCAAGGCTTTTGTCATTTTTAATCTTCTGTTAACTTCCCCATACACATGCACTTTGGCCTATCTCCCATTATTCTAAAGGCAATGCATTGTCATTAGCTACGGCGCCTGAACTCATGACATCACTTTTTGTATTTATAGCAGGTAAGGAAAACAATAAAATTTCAAGGCAATAAATCTGAAAAAGTTACAAAGATCTAAAAAAAAGCCTGACTATTTGCAGGTGACCCTTAAAGCAAAACTGCAGACCAACAAGTCTTAGTACATTTGGTATCTCTAACTCTAGCATCTGTTTTAGGGACACTTCACTGAGTTCCTCCTCCTAATTTATAACTGTATTTGACTCTCTATAACTAGGCTGCAGAGCACCAAATAACTGCAAAATTCTCTTTCTTGCTCCTCACTAAGCATGCAGTGTTCTCTAATACAGTGTATTAAAAATATATTCAAATTCCTTCACTTATCCAAGATATTTAAGAAAAAACAACTTACTTGTGTATTTTTGTTTTCTGCATTCACCACTGAAGGATATCCATCCACTAGTTTCTGTACAATTGCTACCATTCTAGTTGTTTGTGTTGTAGAAAAAGGATCCCATATATTTTCAGAAATCACTGTAAGAGATTAAAGAATTACTCCACTTTGCAAATACTGGTACTAAGACAATCAGATAACAATTTACAAAAAAAGCAAAATGTGAAAGTACAAACAAGCACAGGCTTCCACACACAGCCCTTTCCCCCTCTTTTCTTTCTAAGACTATACCTGTTAATTTCGGAAGGACAACTCTCTCTACAATGGTAGGCAATAGTGAAATATCAGCATCATCTTTCACTTGCTCCTGTTCTTCGCAGCCGTAAAAAAGCAATGATTCAAACCACAACATAGTCTCAAAATCTCGACACTTGCCCTAATAAAAAAAGAATTGAGGTTAGATTCCTAAACAGAGATTTTAAGTCAACGCATTAAAAAAAGTATTAGATATGCAAGTATGATACATTTACAAACCAGAACAAAACTACTTTAAAACAGTCTACCAAGTGTGCTAAGCAGGCAGGGTAAGCAGCAACTCAACAACTCAAAAACCTAGTGCTTTTTGTCAACCTGTCAGGTATTCATCTGCACTGGAAGTTAAAAAAAAAAAAAAAAAAAAGTGCCTGAACATCAAATAATCTTAATCTGGCACAAAGATGGGCAAATTATTTCACCTCCTGCTTTGGCTCCCCTACTTCTAAGGCAGTTGATACTACTTCCTTCAAAAACATAGGCAAGCCTGATTCCTGAGCAGTGAAGAAGATGTTCTGCCTTTTTTCCCTGGACATTACTCACCATGCCATCACAGGTCAGATTAGTGTGTATACAGACAACCCAACCCAAGTAAAATCTGAGAGAGGATGAGGAGCAAGGTGAATTTTCCATAAATCAGCCAAATGAACCAATTAATTCTACAACCGCACAATCACTAGATGTAATGAAAGTGAAAACAGTGGAAGTAAGGCTGAGTTTTTTTGTCAGCTGTTGCCCTACAGATTTTAACTTCTAATTGCACCTGAGCCAAATAAAATCCCAGAGACTAAGTAACAAGTGAGAAGTAGAGTACATTTGTGCTACGTTATAAAATTATGTTTTCTGGATTTAACACCTCATTTTATGAATGCCTTGTAATTTTTCTAACTTAACAAAATGTTTAACAGGACCAGTAACACAGAGTAGTGAAAACAATTAGATTTGAGAATTCTGCACCATGTCTCCAACTAACTTGAGCTTTGTTTTGTCAGCCTGGGGAACTCACATAGAAATAGCATGGGGGAAAGGAGAATTTACAAAAACAGGTTAAATTTAACGAGGACACCTTTCACAGATTTTTCCCTCATTTATTCAAATTAAATACTCTGAATGCACTCTGAAGACTCCTGCTTCCCTTCCTCTGCAGCAGAGATAAGAGAAGATCCCCTTCTTCAGATATTCTCTTAAGAAAAAAAAAAACTTCTGAAAAAGGGAGAGTTTGAGCAATTTATGAGATATGCTGACACATCTGCAGATGGTGCTATAGATCAGCTAAGTTTTAAAAGGGGAGAAGACAGTCTGCCTTATTAGCCTAGTTTCCTAAAAAAATGAGCTTATGCAATTGCACTCATTCTGTGCTTTGACCCACTCCCATTCCCCAGTAAAAGCCAACATGGCAGAAAAAAATTAAGTTCCTACCAGTACTGTGAAAATAAACACCTGACTACAGCAGAACCACCTTACAAGAGCCTTCACTGGTAGGAAGAACAGAGTGGGAGTCAAAAGTTACCTGAACTATTTGTCCTGATGGCTACTCATGTCAGCACACATATGCAGGCTGGACAATGAATGTGTGCCAGGGACACTGGACTACAACAATGCTGTCCTGCTTTTCTCATCTTCCCTACCTAATAACTAGGTAGCGTGTACTATGAGGAAGACTTGGAAACTGACAGCCACAGCTCTACAGGATATGAAGGTGTAGGTGAGAGAAAGAAAGATGTATAATGTAAGTCAACATAAAAACAGGCTGCTTAGTTCCACTTGTGAAGAAACATCATCTCTGGAACCACAATTTTCTCTTCGTATTTTAAAACCGAAATGTATTATTTAAGAAGCCATTTGGCTTTTTGCTCTACACCACTCACTGAGTGGGTACCAGCATGTGCTGAATGAAACTTTGGCCTGCTGTGAACACAGAGGGCAACAGTCCACAAACTCCCCAGAAAAGCTTCATTCCAAGTAAGGTGCCCCTTTTAAACTTCATGCCTTTATGAGAACATGCATTTATGAGAAGCACACATCAAAGGCGCAATTCACTTCACTCTGCAGAAGTGTGAAAGAACCACTACATAGAAGCTTACATAGAAATTGCATGCACAGGACCTTACCTCCAAAGGAGTCCAGATAAGCAGCTGAAGTCTGATTAAAGGGTTAAACAGCTTTGGTAAACAGAGGCCAATATAAGCATCCTTATAAGAAGCAAAATACTTTGAGCGCCAAGCTTCAAACTGTGACTTAATACAATCAATTGAGTAAAAGCTTTCCAAAACATCTTCAAAAACTTTGCTGGATTCTTTCAATATACGATCTGTTGGGGGAGAAGAACAATAATAAGTTAATCACTTATTCCTTGTAATAATTCTTTCAAGACAGACTTTGATGCTCACCGGCATAAGCTAACTCCTATGAACACAACCAAAAATATACCACCTTTAAAAGTTCTCTTACTTGTGCCTCAAATATACAAAGCAATAAAAACATGAGCACATGAGTACTCTCTGACACAATGCTTCATCACAGGTCTTGCTTTAAACATTTCATACAGTCATTTTCAATAACCGGACACTGGACTGGTGATGAATTGGGCTGCACTCATAGAGGTAGGAGAACAGTGTGGATCGAACTTCAAAGCTGGCCTTGCTCTGCATGGGAGTTTGGAACAGACAATCTCCAGGTCCCTTCCAACTCAAATTACTCTACAATTTTGGTCCTCCAAGTGCAAGTAAAGGACAGCAGGAGGGCATCTCAGATAGTCCAACTGAACTGGCACTTCAGCCAGAGCAGGTCCTGGCAGACACTATACTAAACTGCTGACTATAACATGGCTCTTAGCACTGGGCAACCATTACAATCTTTTAGCATCTCCTTAAACATTTTTTTGTATTTACAGTATTAATATTCCATGCAGTCCAAAACTTTTTCTGTATATATTATTTTCCCTTCATCTCTTCTACCTCCCAGGGTTAGTTACATTTTAATTGGTAATTTTTTGCTGCAGCCACAGTTTTAAATGTTCAGTTACAGTAGTAACCTGCACACAACTAACATAACCAGTACACACAGCAGGTAGAGACAGGGTTGAGGGAACATGAGATTATGTCATATAAACACACTTTGCACTCTGGGATCAAGAAGAGATGCTACAAATAAAGTTAGGAGGATCAAAGTGCATCCCTCTGTTCCATATAGCTCACTGGTGATTCTGGACTAACACAGGAGATACAAATGATAAAAAAAGCTTTAGAAATACTATGCTTATTCAGAAACTGATGAAACTACTACAATAGGCTTTCATACACTTAAAAGGGCCACGTTACATCAGCCACACTGAATTTTTTGCTTTCTCCCTGCATCATTAATTTTGGTAAATCAGCCAGCAACTAAAGGTGTGGAAACTGTTTGCACTTCTCAAGGATGCAACTGCTGGACAGTTCATCTAATTGCTTTTTGAATCTGTTCATACTTTGGGCCTGCACAACCACCTACAGCAACAACTTTGACATTTTTATTACATTCTCTATGGGAAGTGACACGTTTACTCTAAACCTATCCTATCACTTCATTTCATGCCCCCTAGCTCTCACACTGTGAAAAGTCAACATTGGTCTCCTAGCTCAAGAGTCCAAAACTGTTTAATTCCTCCTCACATACCACATAAGCAATTTTATATACATGATAGTTGCTGCTCCCCTTCTCCACATTTCTTCTAATCTGATTAAATTCTCTTTAATCAGAGAGAATTATAATTGTACACGGGTTCAAAATGAGAACATAACAGGATTACTACAGTGATGTTCTACTTTCTTTGCTACTGTTTTCACAGTAACCACTGGAATTCTTTGCCTTTTAACTGCTGCTGTAAAAGATTACTACTCCATCAAACTATCCATATTTCTCCAAATCTCAGGTTTCTTGCAGTTCTCCCAGTGCTTAGGAGGCATTAACTTAATTTACAACCCCATTTATTGCATAATTAGGATTATTCATAATTGCACAATAAGGGTTACTTTGAGCAAACCAATCATAAAACTGCAGATGAATTTCAAATCAAGTCAGTAGCACAAGATCTATTTTGCAATGTTTGCATTCAACATTGTTTTCTGTCATGTGCAAAGTTTGCCAGGCTGTAACAGGAGTCTACAAAAATTTTGTCATTGCATTCCTAGATGCTTACACAAAACTCCAGAAAATACTTCCTATCAAGGAAAAAAAAAAAAAAAAAGGTTTCTAAAGAACTGAGGTGTTCAGAATTTCACATGTAAAAGACATATGTGAAGAAAGATAAACCACATTACAAATTAGGAGGAAGACTTAGTATCCACTGAAGGTGCAAAAGCTTGCCGCGTGTTTGAATTAAATGAAAAGAATCTCACTAAGGATGGGGTATTTAATTAGCTGCAAGCTGCATAACAGTTTGGCAAAAGAGACTGTTTTGGTCACGTTGATGATACAGCAAGGAACAGTTCCTACACTGTCTCCAAAACACAGCAAAATAGAAGGACAGGGCTGCATTTGGATCAGATTTTTTTTGCTGCCGAATTTTCTATATTTCGTTACACAGAGCTTCAAGTAGCTTTTCTAACCTCGCTCCAAGTTGAAGTTTGTAATATCCGTTGAAGTTTCCTCATCATCACTGGAAAGGCCTTCAAGGTGATCTGCCATCTTCCCAGTTTGCTCTCTTGCTTGTCTACGACGAGCTCTGAAAAGGATCAGCAATATAAACTGTTACTTCTCCCCCTGCAATACAGTGAACAGACCTGCCTAAGCTTGTCCTAACTTTTAATGCAAGAAAATCCAGCTTGAAAAAAGCCTTCACTATGTCACCAGCTCAAACATTCTACTATGTTGCTGCCTGAAAAATGGAAGGAAGAGACCATACAGATATGGAATGGGTTTACTACGCTTTCTGTTAATCATTTTAAAATCAGTATTATGTAGTCAGTAACTTGTTTTGTACACTTGCATGCTAGGTTGGGATATTTAGCAACACTCCTGCCCAGCATACCAGCTTAAGTGTTTTCTTCCCTTTGCAGGAAAGAAGCAAACATTGCCACTTACATTAGTATGTCACACAGGACAACTGTATTGTGCAAGCAGGCAACGACTCCTACTGGACAAGAAATCTCAGTAGTCTTACCTTCTAGCCTCTCTTTCTGCAGTCCGACGCTTTACTTGTTCTTGGTAGATCACCCTGTCTCGTCCAAAAGACTCAAGATTTGGTGCCATCAGTGCTTTATCTGTAAAATTACATTGATGAAAATTAAAATGTTTATCTATGATTATATAAATGTGTTGTAGGCAGTTTCATAAGTGTCTTTTACCTACTTTAAACAAAGTGTAAATTGGAGCAGAAAGTTTTCAAAAAGATGCAACGCAGAAGCCCAAATTCACAAGTGTAGAGGTTAAAAGAGGAAGCAGTGGAGTTTGGAAAAAATCTCCACTTAAATTACAAAAAAGAGACCATTTTCACCATACTTCACTCTTGTCCCTCTCACAACAGTGCCCAACTGTATAAAAGTCAACAGTTTTCACTGAAATCATTTAAATTGAATGCTCCACGACAAAAAGTGGTCCTCACACAAACATGTTCACCATGTATCTTTTCAAAATAAAATTAGCAAAAAGAAAGGCAAAGAAGAGTGACTGGAGCAGGAATAGAATCCTGAAATATCATCTATTTGTAGCATCTCTAAGTTTACATGCTTTAGACTATCTAAAGTTTAAAACACATTAAAATCTACATGGAAATAAAACCTCTCCCTTCCTCCTTTTAAGCTGTGATTCATTGCAGGTGTTCCTGATTACAGAAAACACATCTAACCAGTGAAGCTGATCAGCAACCAGCAGGCAGACCCAAGAGTGTTTCCAGTCCATCCTTTTCAGGTAAATTTTTAAAAGCAGATTGAGTATTAGCCAGTGGTCAAGTCCACTAAAATATAAACATCACAATTTAAATAAAAGCCAACCTGAATTTCAGGAGTAAATTTACATGTTCTAACTAAATCCATTTACAAGTCCATCATTAAAAATGTTAATGATGATTTATGCCAGGATTCTAATTCTATACCAGAACTACTAAGAGCCTTAGCATGCAGATGAAGCCATCATTTGTCCAGTTTTTTAAAATGTTCTTTGAAGCTGAGCTGTTTGTCTTTACACAGAAGCAAAGCAAAAGTTGGCAAACTTAAATTCACTTCTAGCCCTTCAGTGTTCTGACACTCTATGAAGAAAAGCAGATCATCTGTATCTGCAACACACATCAAATCAAAGGCTGGCATCAATACCTAGTTTCTGCGATAATTTGAGGGACGGAACTGAACTATTTCTAGACACAGTGAAATTCATTCTCAAGACTCCAAGATACTAAACAAGATCTCTCTTTAAAACTCAGTGTTGACAATGACAACTAATTTCCACCATCAAATTCCAGACCAAAATAATCCATTCTAAGCTTCTTTTAGGAAATATATTTCTAGTATATTCGGTTTCTAATTCTCACAACAGCATTTGCATGGTAAAACTGCAAGGACAACATGTGATGCTTGGCGCTCCAAATAAAGTCCTAAAGGGAGTATTTGTGCTAACCACTCTGTAAAGGGATGACCAACTCTGATGCCCCAACGCTTTCTCATCCTTGGTAAGTTCTAGTGAACGGCATTAACAAAACCTCATATCTGGACATACTGTGACAGAATAGTAAATGGCTTTTATTACAGGATTTTAGGTTAGCAATAGGACAGACGAGAAAGCCATTTTTAAAAATGGGAAGCTCTCCAAAGCAAAGATGATTACTAATAATACGATATTATACCTGTCATTTAACATGCTGAATAAGACCTCCTCCAAGGAACGTAATTTCCATCCAAGTTTACATTTATACTTTTGTAGAGTTTTACACACTGAAGAATTATCACCACAAGAAAACTCCTCAACGAGAATCCCCCGTCCACATGCTCACAGTAAGCAGGTACTTTAACTGGCTAATTTTAAGCTATATCTCATATAGGGTCACTTTGTATTAGTCTGATTTTTAACAATGGTACCAGTCTCTTCCACTTCTTTAGCTTTACCAGTTAAGTTTCTGAAATGAAATACTTATGCTGCCTACAAAATAAAGCACTAGACAGAAGTCAACTCTAGCCCAGTGCTTCATGGCTTTGTACAGAGATAACTGTGTATGTTACAGGAAATTTATAGATTCAAGTAGGTTTAAAAAAAAAAAAAAAAAAAAAGAAAAAGTCCTGATATAAGAGGAAAATCAAGAATCACATGCTACCACTACTATCACTGCCACCATGCATACATTTTCAGTGCTAGGAAAGAGAAAATATAGTTAAGAGCAACACAAAGGAGAGAGGAAGTCGAGTTAGAATGGCTTTGGGCTTAAAACAAAACAGATTAGAGAACTTTTAATCTAAACTTGCTTCTACCTATTTCAAGAGTAAGAATAAACTTTAAGAGAGTCATACTTCAAACATTTACATTAAGCCATAATAAGTAAACAAGGTTGTTTAATGAATAATAAAAACCTTCAAGATGGACTGACTTGAATGGCTTGAAAACTCCGAAGATTCATCTTTAATATCATCTTGTCGTCTTTGGACAAGGCGGGAAGCTCGCTGTTTGTACAGCTGGTGCATTGCGGATTCAAGCTCATTAATCAGAGGCACCTGTAAAAATACAACACACTACGTAATATCAAATTCTTCAGGTGCTTTGTTTCTGGGGTACCATACTATTCCGAAGCATCATGCTGTCACTGTACTTCTAGCAGCACAAACTGTTTCCTTTTACCCATCTGTATCATTTGAACCAGTAAATATTTAAATGTGAAGAAAATGCATGCATTTAACAACGTTGACAGCTTTCAACTGTAGCAATGGCATTCTGAAAGTAACTTTTGTTGACTGAATGAGTCTACACAGTAAGACAAACATTTTATCATGTGTGAAATGTTATTTCAAGTACTCTTGTTTTCTCTACCAAGTGTGTTACATATTGTGTTACAGCACTTACAGTTCTCAGGCCTCATTGTTTCTATCTTTAAACAAGATTGTAGTAGTATTCTGCATTTTAATGAGAAAATAATCTGACTGTTACAGTGAAAAAAACAAAGCATGAATCTAACCTCCTGAAGCCAGCAAGTATTGTTTTGTCTTATCATATGCTGAAATATTATTACTGAAATGCAATAAAACAGTCCATAAACATGTTATGCCAACAGGTAATTCAAATCACTAAATTGTCACTATAGCCTATCATTAAAACTAAAATTGTACAATTTGTGTGAGTATTAAGTATAACCTCTGAACATACAGACTTAAGCCGGATCAGACCTGCCACTTTTTTTAAGTGGTCTACATTTCAGTATCAACTATTAACAAAAATAGATGATGTTATAACAACTAAGAATTTTCTCACATTAAATAGCAGATTCACTGCTCACTTCTGCAAAAAAATTCATTTCCCAGGACAAGTTAAAATTAGATTATTATAAATATTCAAATGCAAACCACAACTTTGCACAATGCTGTAATTTGGAAAGGCAAGTCCTTTTGGTATGAACATTTAAGCCATATCCTCCTTATCTCCAAGATATGTGCTTAGTCCACAGTCCTCCATCCTTTCATCTCAAATATTTCATTGCTGCCTACTGTCTAGGATTAAGGTTTTTTTCCAAAACAAAAGATAAAATCAGAAATTGTTTCCTCATGTAATTTAGAATGTGACTCAGCAGCTATTAAAGAACCTCCTCCAATAAAATACAAGATTATGAGATTATAGCTACAGGGCCATTTCAGCTACCTGAGAATGACACACACATCAGAGGATATATTAAAAGGAAAGAAATATTATCTCTTTGTGGTACAAACTGGGCTATAAGGATTAAAATGAAAGCAACTCTGCACCAATTGAAAATACATACACTTTCTTTTGGAAAAAACAGAGTAGAGAGAAATAGGAGGAGGTAATGTCCCAGCACTAGAAGCGCGTATTCTGAATTTAAGACAGTTTTGAAAACAAAAAGAATAATAATAATAAAAAAAATATTAGTTTTACTGCAATTTACCATAGAAAATAAAATATAGCTTCCTCACTTAAGTGTGTAAAGTGAATCCTAAAATCAAAAAGTTAAATGAAAATTTTTCAAAGCATCCATAGAGGTTCTTTCTATAATTGCCTCAGGACTAAAAAACCCTAGCTATATATTCAGATGTATGAATCCATTCAAAATATTTCCTATTGAAAACACAAGAGATTTAGAAGCCATTATTCATTTATAATCAATACTGTGGTTGATGAGTGATTGACAATTTTACTGACTCCTACTAGTTACAGCTCTCATTCACTGTGTTTTGTTTAGTCAGTACCTTAAATTCAGTGTTCTGGGTTTTTTTCCCTTCACTTTCACTGTGAACAGTTAGGAGGAAAAGTGGAAAACTCTCTGAACATTTAGATGACACAGTGTTTTGATAATTTGCTTTTGAAGGTAAAATAACAGTTCATCTCACTGTGCTGTCACAAATACACTGGAAACAATTTAGTCTTTCTGTATCCCTTGCATAGTCCTAAATTCAAAATGTAAAGTCACTGTTACCACTTTCTAGCCTTCTGAGAAAGCATAATTTTGACAATAATTACTTGTGAAGGAAGTCATGCAAGCATCTTCCACTCCATTGGTTTTATCATTTATGGGGAAAAAAAAAAATCAGAGGATTTGACATTTCTATTGTTTGTTTCTAAAATTTGCATAATAGCTGCTTCATTATACTCTCCACTGCACCGTACCAATGATAAAAGTGTTTCTAACATTCAGAACCTCTTCAAAACGAAACATAAACAAAATAGTTTTGCTTGGTTGGGGGGTCATGAAAGGTTGAGGATGGTGAATAGGCGCAGAAATAAGATGGTGGGGGAAGAAAGTCTAACTTATAATATTTTTTGTTCTCCAAAACTGAGTCAAGAGACATACAAGAAAACTCTAGGGGAATGGACAATTATATTGTGAACCCATTAGTACTTCTTCAGCAAACCACTTTCTCAGTCACATCAGTACCAATGTGAATTTGGTTAATAACCATGACTAGTCCTAATAAAATAAAAAGAAAGCATCGAAGCACCATCTTTGAAAGGACAGGGAGGGACCTAGCTTTATACATATTTAGGATATGTGTTCATCTATGTGTGTGTATATATATACACACATATATATAAACACACAATATCATTATTACACATATGGATACACATTTTCTATGCTTATGTATATTATAACAACTACACACATTACATATTATAACCACACACACTTTAAATATGAAGTACTCAGGGCCAAAGGTTCTAGAAAAAAGCTGAAGTAATTTATCTCTACACTCAAAAGGATAAGAAGAATTTACTATCCTGCTGCATTTTGTTATTTCATTTAAATAAAAACCAATACTGATTTTATTATTTTGTCCCATCCCCTCCCCCACCTCCTTTTTAGAAAACCTTGCGGTGTCCTGTGGGCTACTGGTTTTGAATTTGATGGTACTTTTGTCATGCTGAAATCACTGAAAAAAACCAGATTGTCTGGCCAAAGAACTGAAGAATATATAGGACATCATCATAAATGTAACACCTCTGTTAAACTGACCACATAGCTTCCTAATTTTGCAACTAATTATACATACAGGTACCGCAGCAGCCTCCAACTGAAAACAGCAAAACTCTGTCAATGTCCCTAAGCAGCATGAGATGATAAAAATCACATCTTAAAAGTTCAATGAACTGGCATGGTGAGGTATGGGGAGGGTGGGAAGGGGTGTGGAATCTTTGAAAGACCAACTACCAGGAAAGCAAAGGTATACCGTAAGAAAGCAACTTTAATAAGCCTGTTGGTCAAGTTACCAGCAGTTAATTTGCTGTATAACGACTGAAGTTATTTAATAGTATAGGTCAATAACCTTCCTACAAACTGAACTGAAATTGTTACACTACTAGTTAACAGTAAGCTATCCTGGTTTATACAAAATCTGAGAGTAAAGGGCTTGGTTTATATTCAGAAAAGCACATTTTTAAACAATTTGTCTAAAGAAAATATTTGAACAAGAGAGCACGGGCTAAGAAAGAGAACCTCCAGACATGGCTTATAGTTATCACAAAAGAAATCAAAGAAGAGGTCTTTAGAAAGCAAATGCTGAATAGAAATACAAGCATTTAACTTGTCTTCTGAAATACAAATTTATCTCAGTGAAAGAATATAAAAAGTTATCTTCAAGTAGGAACTTAGGCATCTGGGCAACCAGCACTGACAGAGCTGCAAAGGAAAGTACCTTTACTACACCTCAACAGCTAATGCCAATACAGCTTCTTCAGTGAACAATATCTATCGTAACTAATCAATTAGCTGGGTGAATTAACTGGTCCACACTTCCTGGGTTTGCTCACAACATAGCTATTCTCCAGCTTACAGGATTGAAGGAGGGACTCTCCCAATACCACAAATGTTGGACAATTAATGTCTAACCAATTAGCAACCAGAATGTGTCCTCTCCCACACCTAACAAGCTAGGTAGGCAGTAGCTTCAACTACTCAAGTAATTCTAACAGTATTAAGATACTATATCATTGTATTCAAGTCAGAAGACAATGAAGAAATAGCCTATGTATTGCTAACTGAATTTTATAGCTCCTGTGTGTTTAATATATACGTATATTCAGGAGCTCCTATTTTATTTACAACAAAGTACCCAAAACATAATAACATAAGAAAGAAGGACAAAGTTTTCAAGTCAGACATATACAAAAGTATCACACTACATGAAAGAAATATATTTTTAAGTTTGGATGTCTTCAGACAGCTACACTAGTTTTAAAACTTTTCTCCTTCAGACACTAGTGCAATACCAAGTATGTGAAACAGCCTGGCAGGAGGAAGTTTATAATAACACACAAAATACAAGTCTGTTATTGTGTTCATAAAGCACTCCGGAAACTAACAATGTTGTAATTCAGCCCTTCTTGTTGTTAACCTGATGTCCAACACAAGTAAAAAGCAGCATCTGAGTAAAGTTGAAATGCCAGAATATCTACCAAAATCCTTAAGATATATAATCTAAAAGTGTTTTTAGGCAATCTAAAGTCAGTGATCTCTTACACTGTAAAAGAGAAGTTTTTGATAACCAACTTAGCATATGAAAAGTTATCTTTGAATATCACTTGAATGACCAAACCTTTAGAAGAATATGTTCTCAGGGGATTTTTTTCAGAAACAGTGGGAGATGTGGTGTTTGGCATATATTAGGAGCCCCTACTTTTTTTTTTTTTTTTTGAAAGAAGATGAATGTTTTTGCATCCTTACCTTTTCACTGAAACACTCAAGCAAGTCTTGGACATACCCTCGCATTTCTTGCAAAAACTTATACTGTTCACCAATACCCCCAGAAGACCCTTCTAATCTTTCAATTGCCTTGGTAGAGTCCTCTCGGCTTTGCTGATGTTTCTCATATTGCTGCCGATTAGCTTTGTGCAATTCTTTCATAGAGTCCAACCTGAAGGGCAATGGATAAATAGCAAATTTATATCCAAAAGTCTATGTATTTCAGACCATTGAGATATTAAACAGACAGTGCAAGTACCAACTCTATATATGAGAAATAATGCAAAGACACATTCTTCGACTTTCATTTGTCACCTTCTCCCCTCTCTACATAAACAGCAAGGCTAAATTAATTTGCTAGACTATGCTGAGTGCATTGCACTGTCCACTCCTACAAATTTTTACGAGTTGTTAGCACTTAGAATAGTGCAAGGCTGGCCCCTAAGGAAAAACTGGGAGGAAAAAAGAAAAAAATAAAACAAACGTAAAAAACTAAAAGCTTATACAAAGCAGCCTCATTCCTCCGCTAACTTCACTCACTGTCAAAGTCTGTGACACGACAAGGGACATACAAACCAATTCTGAAGACATGTAAAGTCCAAGTTGTTCATTACTACTGATTTCTTACTGCATTTGCGTTGTTCATTCACTGGGACCTTTTGAGTACCTGACAAGCAGATTAGCGTGTTTAAATCAAAAAACCCTGTATACACTAAAATTTAAATTCTCTATCTACTGAAGGGGAAAAATGTGATTCATAGTTTAAAAGAATGCAACTTGACAAGCTAAACACCTCACTGGCCTTTTAATTCTTGACTATAAGACTGTGCAGTGTCCAGAAGATGCAACTCAGACCTGTCTTCAAAAAGATCAAAGGCCTCCTATTTAAAGCTTCACTTCCAGAGAAGCAATCCAAGGAGATTTTCGAACAAAGTGTCAATGTCATCTTCACTTTGAGCTTTTTTTGTTTGCCTTTTTTTTTTAAATGGATGTGCCGGTCAGTACTTCTCCAGCGATGAAACTCTGTGTTTGCTCACCAAGACTAAAAGACGCCTGAGGAACAGAAAGCTAGGGGACAGGTCTTTAGTTCTAAAAAGATGGTCTGTCCTACCTGTCTTTAAGCTGTTTCTTTACCAAATCAATAGTAACAGGAGTCATCTCATTACTGGGAGTTTTGAAAGGAACTGTATTATCTGTTTTTTGAGACTTGGTTTCCGATGATCCATATGCAGCGTAAGTGTACGGAATGCCATATGATGAACCATAAGACAGTGTCTGGTAAGTGTTCTGGTAGTACACATTATTCACTTCAGCAGGCTGACTTGGTTGAACCTAACGGAAGAGGACATGTAATTGTACTATATTAGACTTTAAAGAAAGGAGAAGCTTATTTTGTTTCACATCTCAAATGTCATAAAGTGAAAAATGTAGGCAGATACGTTTATGAAATGTAGTTATAAAGTGGATTCAAGGGTAGAACTTTCAACACCTAAGGTGGAAGAAAGTGCTTCTGAGAGAATTTCTTTCTTAAGTGGACAAACTCTTGGTATTATTATAATTCAAAATATTTATACTTATAATAAAGTTACTAAATGACAATTTTAACCAGCCTATAACTCCTACAATAACCAAGTATTTGGGACTATATTAAATTTTGCCCAGACTATTTAACAGAATGACATAGGTTCTTAAGAGTCAGTGTGTTTGGTTCTGATTTTGCCGAAACTTTTACTTAAAAAGCCTAACCTCTTCAACTGAGTGGGAACTTCATTATGAATGCACACACAACATGTGGTGCAACCTGCTACAAATTCCAACTCTATGCTGCAATGCAAGATACAGAAACAGCAAAGAAACATACACTGTTTACACAGACTCTACGAGCCCACTGCCAAACAAGAACAGAGGTCTCTTCAAAGTGGTATTATTCTAGCTGTTTTAGGCTGTAAATAAATGCTCATTAACAGCACCACAACCAGTATACACCCAGAACAGAGAGACTAATGAACAGATACCACTGGATACTTAAAATCTGATCTCTCATTTCTCTATAAAGAATACCAGAAATCACACACTGAACTTCTCAGGTGAAACAGCCTTCTGTAAAGTGCTCAAGTTTGTAACGGATTTAGCCAATATATACAGAAACAAACCAAAAAAGAGTTCACAACTAACTACATGCCTGAGGTATGTTGATTCCTTTCCGTATCTGTTCTTGCTCCCATCTGCTGAGTTCTTCATCTTGCTCCCCTGCCACCAATGCTTCATCATCGCTTCCCTCAATGCCTTAATATGAATAAAACAGGTAACAAAAATAAGATAATGTATTCGTAGTAATGGCCATGAGTTCAAAAACCTGAGAGACCATGCTGCAATGGGAACACCTCAGTGCATCCTCCTTTCCTCTTCACAAGGAATTAAAGACAATAAACTGCGAATTATTATCACAGAGGTTCCACTTAAAATATCCAATGGGTAAATTTGCAATTAACTGCTGGTAAAAACCTCTAATGTTTAAATCCTATATATCTTATTAATACTCCTTTTCCAAAAGGTAGTTTTACCTGCTTGTCAGCAAGAAGAATGCTATACCAAAGAACTAATGTTCTCCTTTTTACAACTAAATACTTCCTAAAAAACAAAGTACAGGAACACTACTAATTGACTCAGTGTAAGTTTCTATGAGATTTAGTAGGGTTGTGTGCTTCTAAGCACAGGAACACAGTTTTTGCTCAAAATTTTATATGCAGATTCCATTACATAGTACTTTTTCTTAGAAATGGAATACAACTCCGGACTCATGCCTGTTTGAAAAACGTGTTATTCAAAAATGTTCAACAGGGGCACTTGCAGTAAAAACAGTGTGAATGTTTATCAGCTGTCCTTCTAAAAAGGTTTTACCTATTTCCTCAGCAATCTTTTGCCTTTGGGATTTTTCCTTCACTGCAAAAACTATCCTCCTCTTCTCGTCATCATCTTCATCATCACTGGCATCATTTTCATCTTCTCGAACAAGGCGGCTTTTACCTGGTTCACTGTCAACGGGGGTAAAGTCTCCAAGTTCACGAGCCATTTGACGTTTTTTCCTAGCGGCATGAATAAAAGCAGCATCTGGAATTTCTCCTAGAGACAGACGTTTGCACCGTTAAACAAGCACTGCAACAAAACAAGTATCACAACTCCTTCCTACTCTTCTCTGCCACCCTACCAAATCATCCTTGCAAACAGCAAAAAATGTGAGAAGAAAAAAATCCATACTCACGGAAACATTTTCAAGCAACTTATAAACTGCACATGCAAACTTTCTGACCAGAAAATTCAAAGCTGGGATCCTTCCCAAAAAGTCTGTGTCTGCTTCCAGCAGCTCTAATGCCATAAGAGCAGGAGCCTGACGGCCCTATGGGAAATATTCCTAAAGAAGGGGAATTGCAAAGGGAGGAAGAAAACGAGATTCTTGACTATGTCACCTCCTGTCCTGATCTTGCTCCCAACTCTTCTTTTTTTGGGGGGAACAAAAAACAACAGCCATTTCAACAGATGATGATAGCTTAGGGATTAAGAGGACACCAAACCAAAGCTAATATGAGAAGACTGTGCAATTGAGGGGAAACAAGAAAAGCACACGTAATTAAAAAAAGCTAATACCCCTAGCATAAAATTAATGCAACTTACGTATGTCACATAAGGAATAGTCTCTCAAAATAATATTTTTGAAACATGAATAATTTTTATCCCTGCTTTGAGCAGGCATGCACAAAAGGTTAAAGTTCATTTTCTTTATACTTGACATGAGATAACTCTATTCAAGCCAGCAACATCTTTAAAGATGCAATAACATACATCTTGCACCACTTTGCAATTACCCCTAAAAGGAAAATAATTTGGGAGTCAACTAAGAAATTGGGAGTCAACTAAGAAATTTTTTTTCCCTTGAAATATGGCCAAGTCTGTGGACCCAGGGCATGCAGGTGGTTCTGCTATTTGGGGAGCAGACTATCATTAGTTAGATAGCAATTAGTAAACTATTTTCAAAAATACCTTCTCAGACCGATTTCTTTGGCCTCAGGGCCTGACTAGAACCTCATTAGACAAAATGAGACAGGAAAATACTTGAGATACCTTGCAGACCTGTAACTAAGACATTCTAACTAAAGACAGAATTTTAACTGAAAGCAGTTAAAATTCATGTTAAATCACCTATTCTTAATCTAACTTTTCTTACAGTTTGTCATCACTTTGAGAGACAAATTCCTGCTTTTGACATCAAAATGAAGCATTCTGCAGCAAAACATTTTCTCTCATAAAGCTTGTGAAATTGAATGGCTTTGGAAAATAGCAGTTTCCTGAATTCTCAGGTGCGGAATATATTGCTGGAAAATATTTCCTAATACCTCAAATAAATTAGTCTGCTGTAAACACTGACTAAAGCATTTGTTAACAAATCAGACATATTACAATAACCAACCTGGCCGGAGAACATTCAGTGATGACAGAGCACTTGAAAAAGCCCCACCAGCTTTTGGTTTTTCTTCTTCCTTCTCACTTTCAACTTCCATTTCTTCTTCACCATGCTCACTGTTTGCAGTCCCATCCTCTTGACCTATATCCTTAATCTGTCCTGTCTTTTCTAGTGGTGGTTCGACTGGTAAGACAACAAAGCCCATGTTTTACTCTTTCATAAACATCACTTGGAAGTGTGTTTTTAAGGTCTAACAACCAAAAGTAAAAATCAAATGAAAACTTTAAATTATAATTTTATTGTTTGAGATCTACTAAAATACGCCTTCTTAATTGTGATTAAGGCACTAACATCCTTTCAAAATAAAACTTGACAAAGCAGACACTACAACAACCAATAAACATTCTACACATTGCTAAGTATTAAAACGGTGAGGAAACTCAATAATTAAGATCATGTGTGCAACCTTCACACAGCCTCTTACATATGTAATTAGAAAGCACTGCCTGTGTTACACCAAAGCTTTCCAGATGAACAGACTCATTTCAAAAGAACCCTTTCATTTTCCTCTTGGACTAGGGTGCAACGTTACCCTACACTAGGGGGGTAACATACGGATACAAGCAGTAGGTACAAATATAATGTAAAAAATGCACGTTAAATCCAGCTATCCAAGCTGCACATAGCTGAGTTTTTAGACTTCAGCACTTGTCTAGAGTATCCAGACTACTGACTCAGTAGCAGCCATGAGGTTTTTGCACTGTAACCAAACTGACTACAGATAACTGCAAAAGAGACAAAAAGAAAATAAGTACACACTAGCCATGTGCAAAATGCAATTTTTTAAGGATACTTGTGACAGAAGTAAGAATTAAGAGCCAGATCATTTCTGTTTGTGCTCATGCCATCTACTGCTGCACAGGCAACCTGAAGATTCTAATAAAGAAAAAAATTGTGGGTCTTTTAAATGCAGGCAAACCCTTTTTTAAACCTTTAATATTCTTAAAAGGCTAAATTAATTAACTTAAAAAGGGCAATTTTCTATATAGGACCATGTTCAACTCTCATATGCTTCAGCTATATCATTGCAATCTTTAGATCATAAGCCTCTCAACTAGTGCTCATAGTCTTGTAAGTTATTAGTCTACACAAAAACATAACTGGAAAAGCAATCATTACACTTCAGCAATGAGCTTCCCAAAAACCAACAGCAGAAGTACAATGAATTGAAATCCCAGGCTCTATTCCAAGCTCTGGATGACTGTACGTTGTTAAAGATCCTCCTGTTCCAACACTTTCATCCTTTCATCTTAATCATCAAGCCTACGTTAAGGTCCAAGTCCTGAAACAGGTGGCTGTTGAATAATTTACTTCATAACAAAGAACACCATTCTGCTCACCCCAAAATCTTCTTTTTCAAGATGTGTTACAAGGACACATCCTGTCAGATAAGCAATAGACACAGTTCTAAACTAACTGAATTCCCTCCTAATTCAACAGGAAGAAACTCATCTGACATAAACAGAGCTGAAACACAGAAATTACTGAGGTCTACTGACAACCGTATATGTAGCTGAGAAGTTTCATCCTTCTACATCCATTTCCACATCAGAGAGAACCAAAGAACTCTTCAACAGCTTCGGAGCAGCATTTGTAAGGTTCAAATGAACACATTCAATGTATGCTTTACTTCAGTTCTAAATGTTAATCCTCTAAAAAGACTAACAATTCATCTTGAAAACAACTAGTTTGTATTTACAATACTTAATCTTTGCCATTAAAAAGGCTAGTTAGTTTTGCAGTTACCATCTGTTGGAGAATTAACTTCTGCTCTAACTTTTGATTTTTCAAGATCTTCTTTGTATTCTTTCTTCAATTGTTTTACAATCTTTTTGCTGTAACTTGATTTCTTCACTTTAAAAACTTCTTCAGTTTCTTTAAAAGAGAAGTTGGAAAACATTACATTAGACCTGCCAAGAAGAATACTTACCTACTAAATCTCTTAATTTTGTACCCAGAACTTAATAAATGCCACTAAGAACATAATTTATTGTACCTTCACATTTGCACTGTTGCAACAAAACCAGTCCCATAACCTTTCATGCGGACTCAAGTCTTTTTGCAGCCATTTTCAAGTATCTGCATCCCGCTCACAGCACAGTCACAGAAAAGCAAGGCAGAAGTTACACAAAAGTGTACACACACGGCCTGCTTTTATCTGACCATAGTAATCTTAAAAAAAAAAAACCAAAAAAAAAAACCAAAAAACACAACACCACAAAACCCCCCAAACCAGCTGATCCTTCACTGTGACCACAAATTTGAAAGAAAATTACATGAAGCCTCAACATTTCGGGTCAACAGTCTTCTCACAGCCACACATATAAACAACTAGTGAGTAAGGGAATGGCTGGTTTCGGTTGTACCACCAGTTTCAATGCCTGCAGCACTACAGCCGAGCAAAAGATACACAGCAAGTTAAAGAACATTTAAGTTCATTTTGTGTAATTCCATGTCTCCAGTATTTCTGTCAAGATTTCAAATCACTGGTCTTAGAATCCAAGTTCCAGTGATTGCAAGAGAATTTCTTCTCAGAAAATTCAAAATGCGTATTAACTCTCCTGCTGACAAAAGGTATCACAAAAACAAGCTCCTTATTTTATTCACCCTGAACTTCTGGGATGGAATGAACTCTGGAGTTTGAGGAGTGCTTCTGATTTTTTAAAAACCATTTTTAATATATAATAACTACTAGCCATAATCAGATTATCTCAGTGCGAATGGATCGATTAATGAGTGCAGTACCTGCTGGAATCCAGCAGAAATATTAGCTGAAGCACTGCACAAACACAACCAGGCTATTTTTCCAAAAGCTGAGGACCAGAACAAGCTCAACCACTTTTTCCATTATTTGTGAAGGTTAATCTAATAAACCTTGTGCACTACTAGAAGAACTAACGGCAGCAGACCACCAGTGGCTTCAAGGGGAGTTTGTCAGGACAACAGGTAGTCCAACCTGACTTGTGAACACCGGCCACATCAGACGAAAACAAACCCGACACATAGCCGCGGGAAAGATGTTTCTCAACCAGCACTGCAGGTTCAGGGGGCAGGCAGGGAGGGCTGCACAGGCGCTAGTAGGCCGAGTACCTGCTACCGCACAAACCCAGGTCAGGCTAAAGCCTGCACCCAGCTGCTATGAGCGCAACACGGGTGCAACAGCCAGGCACCAGCAGTACAGAAGCAGAGGCAATCTACCCCCCTGAACCTGCATTAAACCTGCGGGACATCACCCCGCAGGTCCCCGGGGCTGGGAGCACGCTGGACCCGCAGGACCCGGGTTGGGCCCGGGCAGGGAGCGGGGCCGAAG